GATGCGCTATTGATTCACCTCACACATTAAAGCGCAACTCAGACAGACAAGTGGCTGCATCTCACACATATGCAGCCAGAGAGGTAACAATACAAATAATCACTAACTTTAGCATCATAGGGATAGCGGTTATGGGCCTGAACGACGCAAAGTGCGTCCAAATTCACACCTGTTCTTCTCTATTGATTTTCTCTGCAACCATTCATCATAGCGAGAAGCCACTCATATCACGTGAAACAGCGTGACCACAGCTTTCTGATAAGACCAAGCACTTGTCGGTAGTCAATATTTTCACAAGGAAAAAATTATAAAGTTACACTAAAATTATGTATAACAAAGCTTTCATACAGCTTTGCACACACATTACTCTTGGATGGATTACTCGCGAATGCAGGGTCGTACAGAAATTCCACGCATATCACAGGAAAGCGCAGGACTAGAGCAGTCATTCTTTTCAGTTACACAGAATCATTTTCTGAAACATGCTTCTCAGCACGGTTTCAACAATATGAGATTTTCAAGTACGATAGCTAGCTAGAACGAAAATATCACGGTTTCACGGTATCATAGTATTAGAGAATTAATATTTCAGAATGACCCCTAAAGGAATTAAAAATGAAGGGTTATTTTGGTTCAACAAACATGTTACCACTATAATTGAAACCTGAAACCATTGTGTTAATGGAATTATGTGTAAAAAGTCTCCCCTCAGAAAATAACATATAATAAAGGAGAGAGTTAACATCCAGTTACATGTTTTTTCCAATATTGTAGATAAGCAAATGAACACGGTATACTAACCGTCAACTTTTATATCACGGTCAGGGCTTGACGCTAACTTTTTTCCCAAGGAGCACATGTGCTCCTAAGTTGAAAAAGTAAGGAGCGCACAAAGAACTTCAGGGGCACAATGTAAATTGATCAAATAATGTGTTTTCCGTAATAAATGTGATGCAAATAGACATTTACAAGCAAAATTATTTAATGAATTTGTATACAAATTGTACAGAAAGGTAAAATCATCAAGTTTTGAAAAAGTATTGCAATTTAATTTTGTCTTTAATGTTATTATCTTATATATATCATCTTTTCAATATGATTATCTTATATAATGTTGTTACCATCCTAAAACATTGTCCAGGTCCTCTGAAACTCTGCAGGACTTAAGCCTCTTTCACATAGAGCACGATTTTCGCGGCGCCCACCGCAGGGTAGGGTGCAGAGCAAGCGGAGAGCAAGGCGCGCAAGACAGGATTTGGGGTACAGGCTCGTTCAGGAGCTACAGCTCCATGGTGACCGCTTCCGGGTCTACTTCAGGCTCTTCTCTGCTATTGGACGCGCTGAGGTGTCNGTTTTGAAAAAGTATTGCAATTTAATTTTGTCTTTAATGTTATTATCTTATATATATCATCTTTTCAATATGATTATCTTATATAATGTTATTACTATCCTAAAACATTCTTCAGGTCCTCTGAAACTCTGCAGGACAGAGTGCGATTTTCGCGGCGCCCACTGTGGTGTAGGGCGCAGAGCAAGCGGAGAGCAAGGCGCGCAAGACAGGATTTGGGGGAGTACAGGCTCGTTCAGGAGCTACAGCTCCATGGTGACCGCTTCCGGGTCTACTTCAGGCTCTTCTCTGCTATTGGACGCGCTGAGGTGTCGTCACAGCGCGTTGTGGTGAAATTAAAAAATTTTCAATTCGAGCGCAGGCTGCCGGTGCACAGACGCCGCGGCATGTGCCCTCTCACGCGCCGCTCAGTTTGACGGCAGAGCGGTGCGCTCTTGCGCCATGATAGCACATACACAATGAATGGGTTCGTCGGCGGAGGTCTGCGCTTTGCGTGCTCTGTGTGAAAAGGGCTTTATTTCCACCCTGCCCAGCAGCGGTACCGTGGTGAACGGTCCCTAAAGCGGCCTTCACATGATAATAACGCGCTTCACTCACCGCCAGGTGCGGCGCAGCGGCATGGTCAAAGTTCAAATAATTTCAACTCTGAGCGCAGCGCTCGGGCGGAAAATCCGAGCGGTGCGCGATGCCAAGGGTAGCGGTGCCACTTTGTCAGACGTTGCCGCCCTCTCCATAGACAAACGATGGGACAGCCAGCAAAGCGGTTTTACAGCTGATCATGTGTAGAGGCCTTAACCGTGTCACGCGGGGAAGGTAGATTATCATATTTTTTTATTGACAAAAATATTGGCTGCTTCGGCTGTTTTTTAATGCGTACATGTGCCCTTAAATATTTTTTACAGTTCGCACACACCTATTTTTAGTCGCAAATGCAAGTGAAACACTCGCACTGTCGAGCCCTGACGGTATACCTTGAAACTGGTATATCACTGTAACCGTATTGCTCAAGTATCTAAAAGTAATCCCAGTGCTGTTAAATTGTGTTTATTAAGCTACTAAAAATGACACTTAGGGCCTGTTTGACATTGCTGAGTTTCTGAGCTAAAGATACCTGTAGAAACAGGTTCAAAGAATATTATATGCATGTACTAACTGCTCAGAAGAGGCAAAATTATTATCAACATAGAACAGAAGTCATACAATAAAGGGATTTCACATTTTGACCATTGAAAGACTGAACATACAGTGTCTTATAAGTGCTGTTGAATGTTTTCAAATGTTTTGTCTATATTTTAAAATGATGTTTTCTATTAGTTGATGATTTTGGTGTACCACACAGGAACCAGTGAAGTCAGACGAGGCGAGGGACATGGCTAACCGGATCAATGCCTTTGGTTACTTGGAGTGCTCAGCCAAGACCAAGGATGGTGTGAGGGAGGTGTTTGAGATGGCCACCAGGGCGGCACTGCAGGCCAGGAGGCGAGGCAAGAAGAGCGGCTGCCTTCTGCTATAGAGTGTCAGCTCACACAGTATTGGGAGGGGGAAACAAACCAGGCCAAATAATCATCCCTCCTCTGTGCCTGCTTTGTCACCAAGGTGGGCACAATGAAATGGGGCGTTATAGGGATGAGAGAGAACCAAGCTAAAGGGGAAAAAAGGAAGGTCAAATGCATTGGAAAAAGGGACTATATACATTTAAGTACAAGGTTATAGCTTTTAGCTTTCAAATAAAAATACTGTAATCTTGTGTTTAGGATTCATAAAAATATTATGAGAATGTGAAGAGATGCGTACTTTTCAAAGTGTGGGAGGGTATGTAGAGTTTCCAGTTCATTGAATGGAGTATGATTGTCTCCTCTGTTCTAAACCATAGCTCTATGGTTTATAGTTGAGAGCAGCTCCAGAAGAGATCAGGTGTGTCAGTGCACCCCCAGATCCGTGCCTGCCTAACTAACTGTTGGACGACTTCCATGGCCTGCACTGTGACTCTGCTTGTCTTTCTTTCTCCTTTATTTCCCTGTAGAAACATAGACCAGCCTAAATTTATATGGTCTAGTGTTTCTGTTTTATGAACCTGTAGTATTTGATACAAATTCCATCCATTTAAAAAGCTGAGTTTGAATGATGGCATTCGAGCATAAATACACAATGGTAATGAGACCAACTTATTTGAGTGTTTTATGATGAATGCAATGATTTAAAAAATTAAGTTGAGCTTATCGTAGCTTTCAAATCAGAAACCCTTATGACTGAACTGATGTGGATGTCACTGTATACAGTTGGGTATTTAAGGGTTAACAAAATTGTATTGTCCTCTATACCAGTGGTTCCCAACTGGTACAGCCACAGGATTTCCAGATTTCTCCTTATTCATTTGTCCAAGGTCCACACACTTAAATACATTCAATGTCATACTGTTACTTGCGTTTGGCCATGTCATCCAGCTAGTTTGCTGTATTGAAGAAAAAAGGTCAGTGCTGGAAATTCACTGTACTTAGAAAATGTGTATTTCTCACAAAGCTGACATGTTCGTGAGTCACTTGTGGTCCGTTCAGAATGGGCCTGCGACCCACCACTTGGGAACCACTGCTGTAGACCTCAACTGCAAATTTTCAAATAGTAACCAGCCTCAACTACAGAGAGAAGCAGATGTTTATGTAAAACAGGGTTATATTAGAGACAAGCCTTATTTATAGTTTCCTGTTTAAGTATTTTTCATCAGAAGCCTCTGTGTTTTCTGATCTGCTCCTGTTTTAATTTGCTGTTGATGCAAACTCAACATTTCCTCCATGTTTCTCTGTTGTCTCAATTAATTCAGGATAATTTACATTTCTACAGCACTATTTCAGTCACTACAGTCATGTCAGAGTTTCTCTTTTTAACAGAAATTCTCTCTACACTTACCGTAAAAATTCAATTAATAGTCCGGGCTATCATTTGCTTAAATTACTGAACTCAACAGGCCTATATTTGTGACAGGCGTCTCAGTGGGACAGGCCTTTAATTCCTTTTATACGAAACTGTTGCTAAGCAATGATGGGAAATATAATCAAATCGTTAATTTAAACCAGTGTGAATATTACTTGTATAAAAATCATAAAAAATATAAATATAATATAAAAAATTGTATAAAGAATAACATGTTAATTATAAATGATTCATTTGATCTAACTCTGAAGAGACAGTGCATTAGAGAGAAAGAGTTTTGACGATTGTTTCTCAGCACCCGGTAACTGACACAATACCACTTTTTCTTGTGAAAACAATCATTCATTTTTATGAAAAACACTTAGGATTATTTTGCTCTGTGAAGCCGAACCAACTAAAGGAATATGAATAACTTGCCAGGTAATCAAGGAACGGACACATATTCTGACTTCATGGCAGCTTCAGAGGCAGGTAGTCACCTTTTTTTTTTTAGTCTCTGTTTAACATGCAGTAAATCTAAAGGACTTGGGGTCTTCTTTGGTGCTCATGGTTATATCTGTATGTGCAATTGAAGCAGCCAACTAACATTACCCCAAGTGGGTAGCCAACAGCCTGCCTTATACATCCAAGAACTTCTGTAAAAATGAACTGCTTGGCAACCAGACCAAGCATCTAATTGAGACAGGCCTTTATTTTTAAACATGTAGCCACACCAGGCTTGTAGAAGGGACTGAGTGTTTAATTGTAGTTTTATGGTATTTACTATTTTCACTTAAATTTTGCTGTGATTTTTTTTTTTCTGCTTTTAAGTTACCATCAATGAAACGCAACACTTTATGTACAGATTTTACATTAAAATACTTCCAGCAGGTCATAGGGTTTCCTCTTGTTACCAGCAGACTTTTAATTGACATTTACAGAAGTGCAGCATTTCACTGACGGTACTTTCCCAGCAATTAAAAAAAAATGCAACATGGAAGTGATTAGTGAATGAAAACAGTATTTCTGTTGGGGAAGTGAAATATTTTAGTGAGTATGACATGACTTTGGTACTGATGGGATGAGTGCTGTGGAAATTAACATTATACAGAATTATAGAATGTGACACTTGATAGTATGATAATTCCACCCTCTGTGTTTTTAACCCAGCCATTATTTGTTGTTCAGCTGTTATTGGGCACACCCATTATTTAAATCCCAGCTTTTATTTGGAAGTGTCTGGTGTACCTGTATGTCAGGTTGATACTATTGGAAGTGTGTTTTGTTTCTACTATGCCAGCTCACTTATGTCTACAACTATTCTTTTTTTCGCTTCATATTCTGTTGTATGTTATTTTAACTGTGATATTCTACTGGCTTATGTTGTATTATTTGCACACAGCTTAAAACAAAAGGTCAGTGTGGTATACACACTGACCTTTTGAAATGTCAAATTATGAAATGCAAAATGAAAGCAACTCCTAAACAGTTGGTGATTTGCAAGAGGAATTTTGTTTTTGTACACAATGGTTTCCTCACACTTTTTTTTTTTAATGTATTCTAAAGGAAATAAACAGTAACTGAGAATGAACACATTCTGTCGCTGGTGTCACTGCTTGCATGCTTTGTGTCTTAACGCGATTTCTGTTACTGTTATAAATCATGCTGTAGTCTACCACTCACAGGTGGGTCAGTCTTTATAAAGTCACACTGTGTAGCTAAACCAATGACAATTTCATCAAAATTCAACCCCGACAGAGGCTGAAATATGGAGTCAAGCACTACTGACTGCTGAAGGTGTCCTATAGCAACCAACAACAGTAATATGGAGCATTTCAGAGACCTCAAGTTCCAGAGCTAAAAATTCAAATTACTACCTCAATGATGTAGAGAAGCACATTGACATCAAACTTATTTTTGATGAAGACTACAATACCCCCACCCCTTTTGGGCTGGTCAGGTCTTTATACATTATAACCATGAATGCTAATATCCTGGTTCAGAGCAGATTTGCTCAGCAAAGTTTCACATAAAACACTTATTACAGCATCAGCTGGGTGTGCCCAAATATGAATCATACCCACTTAAGCAATCAGACTGCATATTTTTAAATGATATACGAGTACAGACTTCTGGATACATGTGGCTTTCATACTACTATTATTAAAGCTACACAAGCTGTTAATGCCAAACCAGGTGCAAGAATTAAGATAAATGGTGCAGTGTCCAACCCTTTGTGTTAGCACAAGGAACAAAGACAGAACTGTTCTATTAGACCTCTTGTGTTTGCAATTTTTACTCAAAACAAAAATATTAAAAGGGATGGATATGAAGGGAGGAGAACATACTGAAAATATATTTGTACAATTAGCTCTTTAAGAGGATGCACCTTCCTAGTATTTGTTTGTGGTGCTAAACCAATGGTTAAATAATTCCAGTGTTGAATAAAAGGTAGCACACACACACATCTTTAGGACATCAACATATTAGTACACTAGCCTAACCACTGAACATCTCCTTTTACAGTTATTCTTACGAATAAAACAATATGGTTCTCTCTCCAATTACAAACTGAATGTTCCAAAAACTATAATTTCTCCATTAATTTCTGCCCTCTTACATCAAATTATTGGGGAGGAGATAAGGAGATGGGAACCCACACCTCTTAGCTTTCAGTCCCTTCTATTAGATCTCCCTGACCAACAATGTAATCAGTGGGACAAACTTATTTCAAAGTAATTTTGAAAGAGCAAAGACTTAGAATTAGATGAGAGTCTTATTGTAAAGCAAAAGAGGGACTGTACTCCCTTATCCACAAGATTGTAACATCGCAGCTCAAACAGAGCATAATTTAGGCATTTTTCAGCCCACACCCTATTTTCCTGTGTAAATTGGTCAAAGAGACTGATGTGAACAACAATTTTTGAAGTTGGTCTAACACTGAGGGAGTGGGTAGCCGGATGGGCCCGATGGGCTGTAATGGAAGCACATGGGGAAACTGAACACTGTCACTGTATGTCCATTCAAAGTGGTTATTTTTTTTTACCACAGAGCAACTCAGATTGTTATTACACTGCTCAAAAAAATAAAGGGAACACTTAAATCACACATCCCAGATCTTGATAAATGAAATATTACAGATGAAAATCTTTATTGATTACACAGTGTAATTCATTGAGAACAAAATAATGTAAGAACAATCCATGGAAACCAAAATCATTAACTCATTTAGGACTGGATTCAGAATCATACCCAAAACCAAAGTGGAAACGTCAGATCACAGGCTGATCCAACTTCTTTGAATTTCCTTAGGACAACTCATAATGTGGCTCAGTAGTGTGTATGGCCTCCACGTGCCTGTATACATTCCCTATAATGTCTGGGCATGCGCCTGATGAGACGACGGATGGTCTCCTGGGGGATCTCCTCCCAGACCTGGATCAGGGCATCAGTCAGCTCCTGGACAGTCTGTGGTGCGATGTGGCGGCAGTGGATGCCACGATACATGATGTCCCAAAGGTGCTCGATTAGATTCAGGTCTGGGGAAAGAGCGGGCCAGTCAATAGCATCAATGCCTTCGTCATCAGGAACTGCTAACACACTCCAGCCACATGATGCTGGGCATTGTCATGCATCAGAATGAACCTAGGGCCCACTGCACCAGCATAATGGGTCTGAGGATCTCATCCCGGTACCTAACAGCAGTCAGGGTACCTCTGGCTAGCACGTGGAGGTCTGTGCGGCCCTCCAAGGATATGCCTCTCCAGACCATCACTGACCCACTACCAAACCGGTCATGCTGGAGGGTGTTTCAGGCAGCAGAAAGTTCTCCATTGTGTCTCCAGAATCTGTCACGTCTGACACATGTGCTCAGTGTGAACCTGCTCTCATCTGCGAAGAGAACAGGGTGCCACTGGCGAATCTGCCAATTTTGGTGTACTCTTGCAAATGTCGGGCTGTACGGTGCCGGGGTGTGAGCACAGGCCCCACCTTCGTACGTCGGGCCCTCATGCAGTCTGTTTCTGACAGTTGGGCAGAAACATGCACACGAGTGGCCTGCTGGAGGTCATTTTAGAGGGCTCTGGCAGTGCTCCTCCTGTTCCTCCTTGCACAAAGAAGCAGATAGTGGCCCTGCTGCTGGGTTGTTGCCCTCCTTCGGCCCCCTCCACCTCTCCTGGTGTACTGGCCTGTTTCCTGACACTGTGTTGGGAGACACAGCAAACCTTCTGGCCACTGCACATATGGATGTGCCATCCTGGAGTAGCTGCACTACCTGAGCAACTTCTGTGAGGCTGCAGATACTGCCTCATGATACCACTAGTGGTGAGGGCACTGGAAAAATGCAAAACTAGCCAAGAATCAACCAGAAAGGATGCAGAGAGGGAAATGGTCTGTGGCTACCACAGCTGAACCAGCTGCTGCAGGCCATGAAGCTGGGAGACGATGGTGCACCTGTGGGTGCTGTGACCTTATGCCTACAGCTGCTGCCTGCTCCCTTAACACTGGCCCAATTTCAAAAACTGTAGTTCACATCAGTCTCTTTTTTTGTATATTTTATTTTAACTTTTAAAAATATACAAAGCACACAATCACAAATTGACAATACACAAACACCAACTTTACATAACAAAAGCATCCAAAATAAATTAACAGACAATAGAATAAATTGACACCAACCATACAAATACAAATGTAACTAATAAAATTAAATACTACACTACAAAAATGGGTGGGAGGTTGGGGGGTTGAGAGATATGGTGGTCTTGTCCATAACTGCATGGTCTCTTATAATACAAGTGTGGTGAAAATAGACAGAACATGCAGACAGTCATCCAGTTATGTGGGATTGGAGATTTTCCATATAATTAATAAAAGGTTGGCATATTTTATAGAAAGGGTGTATCTTATTCTTTAGTGAGTAAGTTATTGTCTCTAGAGGTATGCAACTGTTCACTTCTGAGAGCCACAATCCAACAGGTAATGGGAGATCTGACTTCAACCTACAGTTTGGCAGTAGCCAATGGAATTTCTGTAAGCTTAATGGAATGGCTATGTCTGATATTAGAATCTAAGAGGTTGCCCAAAAGGCATACTTCCGGATCCATTGGGAAAGTGACTCCATGGATTGTGGATAGGGCATCATAGATCCCCTGCCAAAAGCCTTGTAGTTTACTACACTGCCAGGTGGAATGAAGGAGAGTGCCCTCAGCTAGGCCACACCTAAAGCAAAGGGGTGAGAATTGGGGTTGAAGCCATGAAGCTTGGAAGGAGTGAGATATGTCTGATGAAGAAAATTGAACTGAAATAATCTATATCTTGAGTTTAGTGTACAAGTAACCTTGTTGATACATAGGTCTTTCCACAGTGCAGGATCAGTCTCTATATCTAAATCCCTCTCCCACCTAAGTCTAGATCTTTCCAGTTCATAAATTGAGATAAAAGGTAACGGGATTTCATAAATCTTGGAGATGTTTGTAACCATTGGTTGACCATCATGAAAAAGAAGTTCAATGGGTGACACGTTGGATAGTATTTTTCCTTTAATTGTTGGAAAGACATAAATATTCCATCCTTAAAACAATGTTTTAAGCAAGTGGTACCCTTTTTAGGCCAAGAATTAAAGATTTCGTTCTGGTACAAGATAGGCATAAGCCTATTTTCCCACAAGGGAAAGGGAGAAAACCTGACCGAAACATCTTGTGTATTTTAAAAGTTTGGACTGAGTGAATAATGTAAGGATTACGGGTAGTATTTCTGATTGACTTTCCATCCCATTTATATAAAATATCGAACAGATTGAGCTTGTTCATTTCCAGCCTTTCAATATTCAGCCACAAGAGTGAGGGATCCCCTCAAACTGCTGAGCCAAAAAGTTTTAACCCTCCTTTTGCATAATGTAGGGTACGTTTATTTAAAGTGGGCCTTGGGGATTTACTTCGCCAAATAAAGTGTCTGGTCAGCTTGTCCAGTGAAGAAAAAAATGCAGAGGGAACATGAATTGGAAGGGATTGAAACATGAACATTTAGGCAAGACATTCGTCTTGATAATTTTTTTTTAAAAATTTTATAAATAATTTTTTTTTTTTTTTTTTTGATAACATTAATTCCACCTGGTATAGTAGAAGGGAGGTTCATCTGCTGAGTCATGTCATTCTCTACTTTTTGTTTCCAATTTCAAAACTTAAGAGTCTACTCGGATAGCTTCAGCCAGTGAGTCCATGGCAAGTACAAAGAGAGCAGGACTGGGCAACCCTGCCCGTTGCCCCTGAAGATAGGGAAATAGTCTGAAGTAAATCCCATTGACTGCAATCCTAGGGCCCTATACAATGATTTTATTAAATCTACAAATTGATCATCGAAGCCAAATTTTTCAAAAACTTTTAAGAAATAAGGCCATTCTAGCCAGTCGAAAGCCTTTTTGGCATCAAGGGAGAGTGCAACACTGGGTAGGTTGTTTTTCTGGGCAAAGTGGATAATATTAAAAAGCGTCTTAAGTTATCAGAAGTATGTCTATTAATTATAAAACCAGTTTGGTCAGAATTGACAACACAGGGAATAAGTGTCTCCAATCTCTTGGAAATCATTTTGGTTACTAGCTTATAATCAGTATCTAAAAGGGAAATTGGCCTATGGGAGGTGCACTTTACTGGATCTTTTCCTGTTTTGTGCGTAACTGATATAATGGCCACAGAGAATGATTTGGGTAATCATTTTTCCTACCTAGCTAGTTCAAGGACTTCCATTGACAATAGTGTCAGGAGGTCTTTAAATACCTTATAAACCTCAGTGGGAAAACCATCTTCCCCAGGAGATTTATTTGAAGGCAACAATTTAATAGCTTCAGTTAATTCAGATATTGAAAATGATTTATTCATAAGCTCTCTGTCTTCATCAGATAAAGATGGGAGATTAAGTGCGGAAAGAAAATAATCTATTGTTGAAAAGTCCCCATTTGATTGAGCAGTATACAAGTCACTATAATGTTTCTTAAAAGCATCTGTAATTTTGACGGGGTTGTTAGAGATTCTACCAGTGGTTACTTCCATGCCATTGACTGCTCTCTCACTTTCTTCTGTTTTTAACTGCCAGGCCAGCACTTTAATAGCGTTTTATCCGAGTTCATAGTATCTTTGTCTAGACGTTACGATGGATTTCTTGGTTTGGTATGTATTCAGGCTATTATAGTTATTAGAGTTTTTTGTTTACCAGAGTTCTATACAAGTCTTTACTAGGTATTATCTGATGTGCTTTTTCAAGTGCTAGAATTTCAGACTCCAGGGTATCAAGCTCAGCACGATGTTTCTTTTTCAATGCTTTTGTGTGGGAGATAATTTGCCCCCTTAAATAGGCTTTGAGCATGTCCCAAAAAATAAAACTATTAGGAGCAGATTTTTGATTTGTTAGTGTAAAAAATGTAATCTGTTCTCTGATAAAGGTGCAAAAATCTGGTTGCTTGAGGAGGATAGGGTAAGCCTCCATCTATAGGCTGTTTTTACCTTATTAGGCATGGAAATGGACAAAACCAAGGGGGAGTGGTCACTAAGTAAGTGAGCAAGGTCTTGAGCATTCAACACTATGGCATAGCTGGGTGGATAGCAAAAAGTTATCAATGTGTGTGTGGGTTCCATGAGGATGTGAGTAAAAACAATAATCTCTGTCTCCTGGGTGTAACCACCTCCAAACATCTGTCAGGTTAATGCCCCTCATAAAAGAAATTGTTAATTTAGCTGCCTTGATAAGAGAAAGTGGCTTATTAGAGGATCTATCAAGGACTGTGTCCAGACAAAGACTGAAATCCCCACCAATTAGAATCACTCCAGTTGCTTATGCTATATGGAGGAAAATATTTTGAATAAACACAGGGTCATCAAAATTAGGACCAACATTTAGAGTAACTATGCCCCTGGACAAACACAAACCTGCCCATGGGGTCAACAGTCTCTTTAGTAACAATAAAGGGGGTGTTCCTATTTATGAGGATTGCAGTTCCTCTTGCTTTGGTATTAAAGGAAGAGGCAAACACTTGTCCAACCCACTCTCTCTTAAGTTTCTTGTGTTTGTTATCTGTGTGTCTCTTGTAAGAACATCTGCATTGAGATTCTTCAGGTATGTGTAAACTCTTTTCCTTTTAACTGAGTGTCGGATTTATTGTAGGATTCTATATTATAACGGTCATGCTGTGATCATCTCCATCACACCATAACTGTCTGACTGACATATACTCCTGCACCTTGTAAAGACTGAAATCTCTACAATTAAAAACCACCCAAATCTGTTTAGCCCGTCCTGTCCGGTCCGGTCCGTCCGTCCCTCCCTCCCTAACCACAACTGGACTCGACTGTGGAATGGATTCCATGGAATAATTTTATTTTAATTTAATCTCTATTTATGCACTTATTTTAATGTATTTTATTTTGTTTTTATCTTTTATGAGCTGCTGGACAGTTCTTTCTATTCTATTCTCCACACACCTGCTGCTCAAACATCATTGGTTGTTGCTACTCAGACTACAAATAAAAAAAAGAAAGCTTCAGGAACCAAATCTTGTCCTGATGCCTACAGATTCTGCATACACGCGCAAATATATGTTTATAGATATTAAAATAGGGGGGAGCGGGGTGAGTTGAGACAGTTTTTACTAGAGGCAACTTCTAAGTGAGGACGTGACAGTCATGACACCAACTAACATTGGATTGGTGCAGAGGTTTGATGTACTATATGCACATATATTTCAGGATGTTGAGCATCTCTGGGAATATTCATTTTGGATCTAGACTAAACCAGAATGACTTCCCAAAAAAGTGGTCTCTTGGCTCTTAAAGTTTTTACTTAAAGATAGTTCAACTTCAAAGGCCAGTTTTCTTCAACAAAACCAATTTTTTTTAAAACAAGTTCAAAATGGACAGATTCCTGCAATTCTCACAGAACTGGACTGCTACTCAACATCCCACTTGCACATTCTACAGGGGAAAAGGAACATCTGCTCACTTCTGGCTGTGCCACCAAGTTTTTGCAGTTTCAGTCGTTTCTTCAGCACATCAGCTCTCGGTTAAAGATATTAAAATAGGGGGGAGCGGGGTGAGTTGAGACAGTTTTTACTAGAGGCCACTTCTAAGTGAGGACGTGACAGTCATGACACCAACTAACATTGGAATGGTGCAGAGGTTTGATGTACTATATGCACATATATTTCAGGATGTTGAGCATCTCTGGGAATATTCACTTTGGATCTAGACTAAACCAGAATGACTTCCCAAAAAAGTGGTTTCTTGGCTCTTAAAGTTTTTACTTAAAGATAGTTCAACTTCAAAGGCCAGTTTTCTTCAACAAAACCAATTTTTTTTAAAACAAGTTCAAAATGGACAGATTCCTGCAATTCTCACAGAACTGGACTGCTACTCAACATCCCACTTGCACATTCTACAGGGGAAAAGGAACATCTGCTCCCTTCTGGCTGTGCCACCAAGTTTTTGCAGCTTCAGTCGTTTCTTCAGCACATCAGCTCTCGGGATGAGTCCTTCATTTTTCTCTTTGAATGTGAAGGTGGGCTCTCCATCTGCAGTATCCCCACGCCTTCAGAAACTTTGAACTGATGTCAGTACCCTCAAACTTCTGCACCAATCCAATGTTACTGTAGAATTTCTTTTTAGCAGCAATCTTCACAATGACAAATTGCGAGTGGACAGATTCTTGTCACCACCACCACCATCATCACCATCATCATCATCATCATCATCATCATCATCATCATCATTACTGAGGTCATCTTCTGAACTATCATAGTCAATGGTTTTGCTTAGTGGTTTATCTTACTTTCTTCTGTGCAACTGCAGACCAGAGATTTCTTCTTAGTTTTGACCCCTTCAGAGCATTTTTCTTCCTCTCATTTTCAGCCCTTTTCTTCCTTTTTTTCAGCCTCTTATTTTCTCTTTATTATGAGCCTTCTCCAGCTCCAGTTTTTCCACAAGAGAAGCTGACGCCCTGCCTGTTTTCCATTTATAGACACATGGAATGACAATTTTAGGTCTAAAATTAACATGATTTAAAATGACATTATTTCAGCGTTCAGAATGCAATGAAGAATTAGACTAAAACAACATTTTGATAATAATCACAATGGTTGAGCCACTGGCTTAAATCACCCCTTCCCCGCCATTTTAAAAACTTGCATCATCCTGCAAAATAGAGCTAATATCATGCAAACCGTATAGCTTCACATTGTAGCTTTCTAAAGCACTAACACATGACATTATTTCAAACTTGGCTGTAATTATTCACACACAAAAAAAAACATGAATCCTTGAATGAAAAAAACAACAACATCACTTTGAACAACAAAAAACAGTTTTTTGAACTTAAATATGCGTACTAGTTATTCTGTGTGCCTCTCTCTTAACAGGGTGGGTAAAATTGCTGATTCAACTAAAATGTGTGGTCACATGAACATTTCTTTCAACGGTTGCCTAGAAATATGGGGTGGCTAACTCTCCAACCGGCTCAAATCACCCCCACTCTCCCCTAATGACAATATAATAAGTTTGACTTCTTCAAGTTTGGTATTATTTCAGCAATTAATGAGGGAAACTATATTATGTTGATGATAATCAGCTAAAAGCTTAAAAAATGACGTTTACAACAAACAAAATGTTACTTACTATGCAAATAACAAAAATGAGCAAGGGAAACTAAAGTATACCAGAGGAGGGAAGAGAATATATGTGAGCTGCAATGGGAAACTTCATGTTCAGTTTTATGGAGAGTTTTGTTGGATAAAGCTCAGTCCCAAATCTAGCCCTCAGTTCACCAGTTATCATGCGAAACAATCAACTCATTGATGTTTCCTGCCTCCAGATTCCAGGTTCAGCTGAGTCTTGGTGGATGTTCTCTTCAAACAAGAACTACAGACACAAAATATTTGTGGGGATAAGTGTAAACAACAATGTAACTGTTTCATGGCATCTGACAGTGCCATTCTGCAGCTTCACTCTATAATGGCTGATGGAGTCCTGCCACAAATTCCTGATAGCTTGACTCTGAAATGAAAATGATAAGATCAACAAAATACTTTCTTAAAAAAAGAGATCTAAAGTTGTCAACTTAATTTCCATGTTTTTTAAACAGTGGACATTTTATAGACAGCCACAGACCTGTGTCTGGCTCAATAAACGAGTGTCGAATGAGGAAGTCCAAGACCACCATGCCAGAGTTAGGTTTGAAGTCATCAGTGGCTAGCAGTTCCTTTACCTGAAACCAAGAACAAGCAATCACATTACCCCTCCAGTATTTTAGGTATCTAACTCTTGGTGCTTTCAGTAGCACCTCCTACAATATTGTTACTATTTCACAGGATTACTATTTAGAATATGTCAGCAATACTAACCTTATCTATGGGCAGGAGATAGAAATCTTGGACCTCTCCATCACCCACTCTGGGCTTGAACTCCAGAGGAAGTTCCAAATCAAAGACAAACTGACATTCTGCAAACACACCCTCTTCATCCTCATAGGTGTAGCTAGAAAATACATTGAAGTAGTTAGTTATGGAATCTAATGAGGCTTGACTTTTACTTTTCTTTTGTAATGTTTATATTCTGATTCAAGTCTTTCCTGTTTGTCACACTGCACTCAATTTACGATTTTTTTTCTTTATAAAAAAAATAATACAAAAGACAAAGGAATTACTTTGAAATGTTTGCTTTTATTTTAACAATAAAAGTTAACAAAAGCATTTCCATTTTGGGTTGTTGCAAGCCTGTCTATAACCAAACTCACTTATAAAAAATACATAAAAGGTGCCTCCTGTTAACAAAATGTATAAAGAAGACAAAACACTTTTGGAAACAAATTAAACATGTCAGGTAGCATGCTATTAAATTACAGGAAAAAAAATCATACATGAGATGCTTGTAATATATATTTTTTTTTTTCATAAAGAACACAAGCCTGTTTGCTGCCTCTGGCATGAGCAGGCCTGCCCTCTGGCATGTTACAAAGATTAATTTTCCTATTGGGATTAATAAAGTGCAAACATAATTTTCATCAAATCAGTGTTTATTTTGGCAGCTATTTTAGATTTGGTCTTAGTCCTGACATGAAAATGCTTATCAGTTTTAGTCTCATTTTCGTCATTTTTATCCTTCATAGTTTTGCCCTGGTTTCAGTCATGACATTTTAGTCAACTTTTATTCATTATGTTGTCTATGTGTTTTTTATCTTTAAACTAATCCAGTTAGGCTCATTCATGTATCAGAAATTAAAATCAAAGAGAAAGGGTTTTCCTACAACTACAGATAAATTCTACTCACTTATAAACTGTCATTTCTCCAGCAGTGTTTGACAAGTTTAAAGGTTTATGAGCACACACTTTCTGACCATCATTTGAAAAAGTCAACATCTCTCTATTTATGTTCTCAAAAACTTTGTCACCAAAACACAACAAATAACAGACAACTAGGATTTGTATTTAGGTTCATTGTAAACTCTGACTTATCCATCTTAAATTTAAGGTGCCTCTTAAAAAATGTATTGTGCATCCCATGCTGTATTCAGCATGTGGATGAACCCGGGCTTTTGGACTGTGTATAATGGTACCATATCAGTAGCGCGGCTACTGACCGCGCAACATGTAGGACGTGTTTGGTGGCTTCTCCCGAGGAATGTGCCTTTAAAATATATTTTATTCGTGCAAAGCTGCTTTCTAAACGACTCTGAGTGATAAATTCGGTTAGCAACAACTGCATTTATCTATACTGTGTTACAATGTCTGGCCGTGCAAAATCTGACTTGGCCAAAGGAGGCCGCAGAAAGCCTCAGACATCGCCTGGACATGACCTCCCTGACTCTCCTGAGAAGTCGCCCCATGCTAATGAAGCCCTGCTCTCCAGTATCAAGTCGATGTTGAACGAAATGCGCGCTGATATTGTTAACAAGCTTGACTCCATCATTGCTGAAACTGTCATGAGAGAGATTACAGTGGCTATTTCACCCCTCGAGAGCAAACTGGGAGCTCTCTGGGAGACTGTTGCAGACCTTGAACACTCGGCTAACAGCCATAGCAGCCAACTAGCCGACCTCAAAGCTCAAGTTTGCAAACTGACCACTTTGGCCGACTCTCTGTCCAAGAAATGTGAGGATCTTGAGGCGCGCTCGCGCTGGAGTATTATTCGGATTGTGGGCATACCAGAAAGGTCGGAGGGAGCCCAACCAACGGATTTTATGGCACAGCTTCTACAGAACCTGCTTAAGCTCGACAGCAAACCCACTTTGGATTGGGTGCATTGCACCCTGCGAGCAATGCCCGGGACCCACCATGACGGCTCATTGCCAGGGTGAATTTGTTCCAGACTCGGAACCTAATATTTCGGCGGGCAAGTGAACTCTCTCCTCTGACCAACGGAGGGAGAGTGATCTCCATCTTCCCTGACTTTAATCCTACCGTCGAGAAGAAACGGGCTGGTTTTATCAAGGTGAAGAAAGTGCTTCAGTCATGTCCAAATGTGAAGTTCGGGCTACTTCTACCCCAATGTGCTGCGTATCTCACTCCCCAATGGACAGTTTCACAGGTTTGAGGACCCTGATTTGGCACCTTTGTGAATGAAGACATAAAAAAGGGGGTTACCACAGCCCCATAGTTTTGGCTGAAAGTTAACCCATTTTGTCACTCTAACTTTTTGTTAGTTCAGTGACCAATATGTCTGCTTTGGAGTCATTTGTATAGAATATCCCTGACTCTTCTGTTAAGTTCAGTACGTAAGTGCCTATTTTTTACTTGCTAAGCCCATAGGAGTTTTTTTTTTTTTAGGTTATGTTATTGTTGTATGCTCCCTGCTGACTGTTTGAGCAGACTCTGAACTGAGGGGCTGAACTGTTAAGCCACCTGCCTCATAGTTTCCTGTCCAGGCCTGTACACCCTCAAAAATCAGCCAAATTGATTAAGTCTTTTTTGAACGGTTCTCGACGACTGCCGATTACTTAATCCCACAAAAAAAGAATATTCTTTTTTTTTTCAAGTGTTCATCGTGCTTTCACTCGGATTGACTACTTTTTGGTTGACAATAGACTACTGTCATCAGTCTCTGACTGTAGTTATGATGCAATACTTGTTTCTGACCATGCACCTGTCACTGTAAAGATTTCTTTTCAAAGTTCCACTAACTCTCATCCTCCTCAGTGATTTAACACAAGTTTGCTCTCCAATGAGGATTTTGTTGGTTAAATCTCTAGACAGATTGACTTTTCTTGCATGCTAATAAAACCCAAGAACCCAAGAAGAAAGCCTACATTAGATGGGAAATAATCTCATATACTGGTCATGAGAAAAAACTCAGGAAAGACAAACCAGCGCCATTGGCTCGTTGTATTACCCAACTTGATGCTCTATATGCCACTTCTCAGTCTCCTGAAATATATAAAGCACATGCATCTTTACAGTCAGAATATGATGTGCTTACATCACAGTTTACCACTGAGCTTCTATTAAAGACAAGGTCTTCCTTCTATAAACATGGTGATTAGGCTAGTAAGCTGCTGGCACACCAGTTACATCAGATGATCTCATCTCATCAAATTCCTCAGATTCAGAAGGGCACAGGCAGAACTACAGACACTCTTGGGATTAATAATGTATTCAAACAGTTTTACATGTCTTTGTATTCTTCTGACCATGCATCAGCCTCGCCTAACTTTGATGGCTTTTTTGATAATTTGAGCATTCCCTCCCTTGAATCTTTTGCTTGAGAGGAACTGGAAAAACCAATAAGTTTTGCTGAGCTTAATACTGCAGTGTCATCCTTACAAACCGGGAAGTGTCCTGGGCCTGATGGGTTCCCATCAGAGGTTTATGAAAAAAAAAAATTGGCATCAGCTGGCTCTGTCTGTCTTTTGGACATGTATAATGAATCTTTTAATTCTGGTTGCCTCCCCCAAACCCTTATGCTTGCGAATATTTTCCTTATACTAAAGAAGGGCAAGGAGCCACTTCTTTCTTTGTTTCACTTCTTCTAAGTCTCTTAAATGTAGATTTTAAATTATTATCCAAACTGTTAACTATACTCCTTGTATCCGTCCTCCCATCTATAATATCACATGACCAGACTGGGTTTATCCGTAATAGACATTCTTTTACCAACCTTAGGCATGTGTTTGACACCATCTATAGTCCTCCAATGTTAAACACCCAGGAAGCGCTCATCTCTCTAGATGCAGAGAAAGCGTTTGACAGAGTCGAGTGGGACTATCTATTCTACTCTCTCTAGAAATTTGGTCTAGGTAAAAATTTCATCTCTTGGATTAAAATACTTTATTCATCTCCTAAGGCATCTATTAGAACTATTTTCCCCTGCACTGATCCATTTGCCAAGATTGCCCTTTAAGTCCCTATCAGATTTCTGGATACAAACTGAACCTCAGCAAAAGTGAGATAGTTCCTATAAATGATGGAGCTAAGCAATTTCCCCTACATAAATTCCCCTTCAAAATTGGCCACAACAATTTCACCTATCTGGGAATCAAGGTCATCTTTATCTTTATAAAGATAATTTTACCTCGTTGTTGTCTACAACCCAGAAGTATTTTGATTGTTGGTCACTTCTAAATCTGTCATTAGATGCAAGAGTCAGTGCTGTTAAAATGTGTCCGCAAACATTGGACCCCATCAAGGCCTTGTGGGAGGACTTGGGAGAAGAAATTTCTGATGAACTGTGGTCTGACATTTTACACCAGGTCCATTAAGTTCTGTATTTGTGCAAGACATGCACTTATACAATGTAAAATTGTACAGGGCACCCACTACACCAATGCTAGACTATCTAAAATTTTCAATAAGGTGTCTCCTGCATGTTATCGTTGTCAGCATTTCCCAGCAAATCACATACACATGTTCTGGCTATGTCCAGCTTTGTATAACTACTGGACAGAAGTTTTTAAAACTGTCTCATACATTGTTAAAGTAACAGTTAAACCAAACCCGTTCATGGCTTTGTTTGGTGTCTCCTGCTCACCCTCTCTGTCTGCATCTAAGAAACAAACTAAAGCCTTTGTAACCTTGTTGGCAAGACATTTAATACTCCTTAACTGGAAAGCCAAAAGTCCTTCCTCTCATTTTCGTTGGATTACAGATATTCTTTACTTTCTTAAATTGGAAATTGGTTTTCTGCCCCTTGCCATGTTGTATAACATCAATATTTTCAATGTGTTACGGCCTGTATTGTTAATTTTTTAATTTGCATTTTTTTCTTTTCATTTGCTTGAATAACACACTGATTGTTACAACCATCTTATTGATGTAAACATCCTATGTAAAACCTTAAAAAACAACAACAAAAAAGTCATACTGCCATACTTAAGTTGCTGCAGACTTAAGACAAACTTTACAGTGGACAGTGCTTTGCATGAGGTCAGACACTGCAAAACCAAACCAGTTCCAGATGACTGAGGACACAAACCTTTTTTGGGAATTAACTCACCTCCTTTCTTCCTAGCACAAGCCCCCATGTTGATATCCTGTGTGGGTGTCGGAAGAGAAATAAACTTCCTTGGATGACAGGGGTCGGAGGCTACCATCAACTACAGGAGCCAAGGTGGAGCCATAATTATTGTAATTACCCAAGTTAAGTTAAGTTGATTTTAATTTTTAAACATAGTCTTATGCTATGAACTCAAATTAATTGATAAAATCAATTAATCGCCCAGCCCTAAAACTGTCCATGAGAAAGGTCCTTCATAGGACTGGAAGGACAAACTCCAGTCCAGCCTCTGTCCAAAACTATGTAGCATTCCACCTGACCACCAATCCCCATGGTCCTTTTGTAAAGTGTTGAGTTTTCATGTAAACAAACAAAAATTATGTTTGTATTCTGCATTTCCCACCAAAATGCATTGTGTGTATCCTTCAGGTCTGTTGAACTTCTTTCCTTATAGAACAGAGTGGATTTCTTTTGGACATTTTAAAACCTGCATTGTTTACATCTGTTTTCCCTGTCAGCAGTCAGCTTCTTCCTTGCCTTAGCTACTGCATACTGCCACCTGTAGATCAGTGGAATAGTTTGGGACCACTACGAGGCATGTGTAACACATCCCTTGCCTGTGCATGCATGTATGCTCCTGTCATAGATATTAATAATAACTAGATACCAGATGGCAAGATGGTATCTGTTCATTCCAATGAAGTTGCTCACCTGGCACACATGCCAAAAAGGTAATCCTAACTTCTTCTTTCACTCCAAGATCCTCTATTTTGTAATGAGTGGTGATATTAAGCTCACCTTACTGTGGATACAGGATGAGCCTTCTCAGCAATGGCTGCTGGGAAACATGCCTCCTCCTGACATTCTTTGACCAGAGTGTGTTTGATGCCAACACCAGCAGCCAGACCACCTGCTGCCTTCAAATATACAACACATCACATCACATCACATCACATTAGTCTTCTTGATTCATTTGTGGGAAACTGAATTGGAAGAGCTTAGAATTAGAAATGTTGAACTACTCCTTTAATTCACAGTTTGTTGTATCTACTTGTGCAGTTTATCCAAACATTGTCAGTTACAGTTTGTACTCACCACATTGTCCAGTAGTCCAGGGTATGTCTGCTTTGTAGGGGAGCGTCGTGCTAGCCACATGCTGACTTCCCCACTGTCACTGACAGTGTAACCATTGATATGGACTCCATACCGCTTCACCCCAAAAAGACCTGTAGTATAACATCACGGTAAGCTAATACAACACTAACACTGATAAAAGCTGCAATTGTGTGCCAAACTTACTTGTAGCTGCTCTTTCCATCCACATCAAAGGAGGGTCAGAGAATTTTGACATCACACTGTACTTCTGAAAGATAGGAATGCCTCTGAGTTATGGTGATACATATGCTGTTATTGAGAACACCTTGGGTCACTTTAGGTATTCCGATGGGATTTTTGCCTTCATGATTGTTACAGTCCAAGGTCTAGTCCAGTGTGTGAGTTGGAAGAAATTGCATCAAAGTTACGGAAAAGCTTTAGCAGTCATTCCCTAAAAAAACCTAAAAACTCAAAGTGCACGTCAAATAGATTTTTCCCAAAGACCCATTTATACGGCTGTGCAATTAATCGTCTGGTGATCGCGATTACAATTTGGAGGTCAAACGATTTAAAAATTAATGAAATCGAGGGTAAATGATTTTTGGTCACGGACGCCTGGAGATGTTATTTTGTCTTCTACGGAAGCCGTGCATGCGCAATACCGCCCCCTCCCTTCTCTCCTCTATTTGCTCCACGAGCCAGTCAAGTAGGTGAACTATGAATAATGCGAGGGGCAGGTGATCGCGGAAGATTTCAAAAACAGCAGAGGGAGAGCGAGAGAGGTTGGTCTGTGTGTGTGTGTGTGTGTGTGTGCACGCACGTGTCTGTGTGTGTGTGTGTGTGTGTGTGTGTGTGTGTGTGAGAGACAGAAATGACATGCCGTCGTGTAAACAATTTAAGTCATCACGTGCGCTGCATAATCATTTGCATAATTGTGCTTTCAATTTTGACTAAAATAATCGTGATTATGATTTTTTCCATAATCGAGCAGCCCTACCATTTTAGGTATTTCTTACAACGCTCATGTATATTCCAGTGTTCATTTTTCTAATAAGTTTGCTTTGAACTAGTTATTTGATGCTATAAATAGGGAATGTGGCATCTTGATTGACAGCTATGTGTGCCAATTGGTGTGCTCTCGATCAGCGGCGCTGCTTGTGATTGGTCAGGTAGGTGCGTTAGTGGAAAATCAATACTGCAAAGATCGTTACTGTGCAGACTGAAGCCCTTTTTACTCAGAGGCCGCACTATATTAGTCCCTTCTTTATGCCACCTTTGCATTTTTTCACAGAACCAAACAACGGCGGTGTGTGATTTTAGACAGCATGATAGCAACAGGGAGGCAAAAGAAGAGTGACAGACGTGACATCAATTTGATGCTAGGGTGGTGCTTGAAAAGGGGCATGAGTGTACTTAGAACTCTCCTTAAGTTTCATATTGTGCCCATTAGGGTTGGCAACAGCAGGGCTGTGTAGAGTGATGCAGGAATGAGTCCTAAAACCCAGATATGAGTTAGCCTTTTAGCACTTCTGGTGCCTTCGTCTTTAAGTGAATGGAATTTTTGAATGGGTTTTTGGTTAGATACCTAAAATAAATTCTGTGGTTAACTCAAGCTTAAGAGATTTTCAGTTTTTGTTTTTCAATATAACCCCTGTTAGTAAATACCTCACAAGGGATGGGTACCGAAACCCGGTATTAAACAGGCCCTGGGGCTTAATTTTTAAAGATCATATTATTGATAAGCTCCGACATTAACGGTTCTGCTCTCTGTATCTGAGGAATTCATCCTCCTCACAGCCTCACAGCCTGCTGCATGTGTGAGGGGCGGGGCAGGGCCAGCTCTGCCACTCTGTCTCACAGTGATGGGATACTCGATTCCTTTTACTGACTTGAGTTTGTATGAGTCACTCACTAAAGTGAATCGGGTTTTCGAATCACTTGAGTCAGTCACCCAGAGTGAGCACACTACTCAGGTAAGGGAGGAGCTCTCCGAGCAGGGAGAGTGTGAGTGAGCTTCGTGCTGCTGGTGAGCTGGGAGTTGGAGCTACAGAGTGAGTTAGTTAGTTAGTGAGTGAGTGAGTGAGTGAGTGAGTGAGTGAGTGAGTGAGTGAGTGAGTGAATTGATCGTTTTCTGTGGCCTCAGCCTGTGATACAGCTCAGCTCAAGGCAGGGAGGAGACCAGGGAGTTGAGTTGAAATAAGGACCAGAGCTGTTGCTTCTCCCACTGGGCTAATACAGATTAACACATTAAATTGATATATTCACACAAATGCAGTTAACAATTGCACAATAGTCACATGGTGTCTGGTCTCCTCTTTGTAGTTAGCTTGCGGTAGCAGGGGCGGTGTCAGTGAATGAGTTCAGAAAGAGGGGACTTGTAGCAAAGGCCGCATCTGAGCAAAGTGATTCCTTCATTTTCTGTGGAGCCTGTGATACAGCTCAGGGCATGGAGGGCGAGGGAGAGTTGAACTGACACAAGTACCTGAGTTGTATCTTTTCCCACAGGGCTAATACAGCGATTAGCTTAATATATTTACATAAATGCAGTTAGAATAACAGTTGCGTGGCATGTTGCCTGGTCTCCTCTTTGCAGTTAGCTTGTGGTAGCAGGGGTTTCAATTCGTTCATGACTCACACATCACTACTGTCTCATACATTCAGACAGATACCCACGCTCAGAGTGACAATGGCGGGGAGAGTAAAACGCTCCTAAGTTCAAAGTCAAAGTCAAAGTAAACTTTATTGTCAATCAAAACCATACAATAAGGAATGGCACAGCAGAATGAAATTATATTTCTCCACACTCCAATGTGCTGGTTTGTAAAAAACAATTAACATAAAAAGTAGTGCACACAGACAGCAAAAAGTTCACCTAAACACAACATAGACAGACAGTAGGCATTATTGCATAAACATAGACATGTAGATAGACGCTGACAGACATAGTATTGCACAGCATTTTTCAAGTATTGCACTTAAAAAAAGTTATGTACAATGTGCCAGGGATGTGAACAGTGATGAGGCATGTAATAAAAGGTAAAGTGCAAAGTGCTGAACAGCAGCATAGAACTATGTTGTGAGTATAAAGTGCAAAGTAGTGACATGAGTTTAAGTGGTTTATGACAGTCCAATCAGTCGATGTGGGTGTGTGTGGCACAGGAGTGACATGTCATGATATTTTCTTGAGTGAGTTGAGTAGTCTGATGGCCTGTGGAAAAAAGCTGTTGCTGAGTCTGGCAGTCTTGCACCACATGCTGCGGTAGCGCTTGCCAGATGGTAGGACGGTGAACAGTTCATGTGCTGTGTAAGGTCTTTGATCATATTAGTGGCTCCAGCAGCAGGGCGGGTATAAGTTCTGGATGGATTGTTGGGCTGTTCTGGTGATCTTTTCAGCTGTCCTCACCACTGTCTGTAAAGCCTTCTGGTCGGCAACAGTGCAATTGCCATACCAAACTGAAAGGCTGCTGGTTAGGATGCTCTCAATGGCGCCCCTGTAAAAAGTGGTGAGGGCAGAAGGGGGAAGGTCAGCTCTCATCATCCGCGCAGGAAGTGGAGGTGTTGCTGTGCCCCCTTCCATGTCAGGTTGTCAGTGATATGCAAAACAAAAGAATTGACGTGCTTGACTCACCGTTTGAAAAATCACAGGGTGCCGACCCAAAACTCACAAACTGAATAAATCCAAATGTCAACACTCACAAATATCATATATATCAGTCTTTTAATAACGCACAGCAGTATCACAAACGGACGCGTTTCAGCACTTGTGTTATTAACACTGAGGAAAGCCAAGTGCTGAAACGCGTCCGTTTGTTTAAAGTCACCAGCGATTATGTAGACAGGCAGGGTTAGAATTTTGCATTGAGCTGACAGACTGATACAGTGTGGACAGTGTGTCTTTTGTGTTTGCACTGGGGGGGGGGGTGTACACAGCTGTATTGTTGATAGCTGCGAATTCCCTTGGCAGGTAGAATGGTCGGGATTTTAATGTCTGAAATTCTATATCCTTAGAACAGTGACTTGAGACAATTTCGGCATTTGTACACCAATTATTGTTTGTGTAAATGCACACACCTCCACCTCGAGATTTGCCGCTGAGAGCATGACTCCTGTCCGCCCAGATTAAGCTATGTCTCTGTGAGGATGATGGCGCTGCAGTCTCTCACCTTCTGTTGCATAGTTAAATCCAGACTAAGATAATCCATTTTGTTTTCCACCGAACAAACGTTGGATAGCAGAGCAGATGGAAGTGCAGGTCTGTAGGGTCTTTAGCCTGCTCCACGCCTTTACCCGCTCGACTGCCTCGCTTCCTAGATCTCACACACCACTTGCACCGCCTCCTATATCGGCCAGTGGTGGTACGGAAGTCTGCTGCTGCACGCCCCTGGGTCTTGCCAGTGTAGGATGCCTAGCACGCAGAGTGTTTCAGGTTCCAAAGCCAGTAAATCACTAGTCTGGCGTTGCCAGACCCAATTCGCAAAACGCGAATGGGTCTGGACACGGAGTGTACATTTCCTCTATTCCCACGGGGCGGTATCAATGGCTGTCACTCAAAGTGCCCCTTCATGCAATTGTAAGGACGGAAAACCAATCAGATGTAAACGAAGTGAACGAGTGATGTAGGCTAGCACAACACCACTGTAAACAGACCAGCAAGCTGCAGCGGAGATGAGCTGTGATGATATCTGGGAAAGAGTGTTGCCATTTTTGCGGATTTCCTCCTCACTGTGGACTCCCAGTTGCATGGCTGTGATTCCCAGCTTGGTCGCTTCCCTGACCTGCTCCTCCATGAGAGCAACTAGTGGAGAAACAACAATAGCCACTGGGTTTTCACTGAGTCCCATCTTTTTCCCTATCAACGGAGCCAGTTGATAAATTAAACTTTTACCAAACCCCGTAGGAAGGATGGCAAACACATCCTTTTTTTCAATAAAAACTTTCAGTACAGCCATTTGATCTGCTTTTAAAGAAAATATACATTCCAGTTAGTTCAACACATTTACCATCACAGTTTCAAAATCAGTAGCCATGTTGGTTGTTTACGAAATGCATTCACTCTTTCCTTGTCCCTCCTATTCTGATGACATGCCCGACCCAAAGTAATAAATGGTTGTGATTGGCCCAGTAAGCTTTAACCAATGCCAGAATGCACCTTAATGATTGCATGGCCAGACTGATCTGCGGAGCGAAATTGAATATAAGCTCGCGAGATCAGGATGGTTTCACCAGGCTAGTAAATCGCTGGAAAAATTGCTGGATAAGCCGGAGTTC